GTTATTCATCTTCATGACCGTGCTTGAACCATAGCACACAGTCAAGAAATACCTCTGGGATTAGAGGCGCAAAACTTGATACTACTATATAGGTAATATACTGTACACGATTGTAGTGTAAAACTATTTTGGCTCAATATCTGAGTTTCAATGTAATGTATAAAAGTGACCACAAGGGTTGGAACACTGGAAAACAGTAAATAATCATTTCCTAAATCAAAATAACAGTACTTTTCTTCTATTTTTTTTTCAGTTGTCCTTTTTTTCTAAATCATTCGTATCTATTTTTGGTCCCTTTTTCCTGCTCCTGTGATCACTGGAACAATGTTAATGCAATTCTAAACTCAGATAGGTGTTATTTAATTTCAGCTCCTGAGTTCCAAATGCATGTGTTAAACTGGGTTATGGCATGGAGATTACCAAAGACAACCCCAGACTTTAATTTTTTGTTGTTGTTAAGATTCTATCAAGACCAAGCAGGTTATAACAAAAGATCTGGTATACTGAAAAACAAATTAAACAAGAGGGATGAACATTTACATAGTGCTGAGTTATCAACGAGTAGCAGAAATCCTTTTTCAGAGATCTAAAAATTTCCCAGACCCTCCAGATCTAAACATTCTCGCTTAAGGTCAACTTAGATGTAGTTATGTCATTAATTAGTACTGCCCTGGCCCAGTGGCTCAGTCAGTTGGAGCATCATCCGGTACCATACACCAAAAGGTTGTGGGTTCAATTTCCAGTCAAGGCACATATCTAAGTTGCAGGGTTCAATCCCTGGTGGTGGGGGCACATTAAGGCAACCAATTGATGTTTTCCTCTCTCTTCCCACTCTCCTCTCTCTAAAAACAAACTAACAACAACAAAAAAAACACAAAGTACTTACTTTTAGGATTTGCTGTTAAAGTTCCCCATAACTTCTTGATAACAAGTCTGTCCCTAGCCAACTATATAGACTGAGTGCTATTACACTGAAATATGTTCTAGCACAGGATTCCAATGAGTGGGAGAATGTTTCACTCCCGGAGACTGCACACATTTTGGATTGTATTTTAGCCAACATATGTAGTATTCAGTGCCCATTTACCTAAGTTGGAATAAGGTGCTAACAGTTGAAGACTGCAGAGGGCTAAGGTACTCATGCCCGGTTATGAACCATAACAGATCAGGGAGCAGGGGGTCATGGGAGTCAAAGATGGGCTGTTAACAAAGGGAGAACACACCAGACTTTATTACTGACACATCAGTCCAGTATGAGGAATGACAACTCTCTTACAATGGTACAAGTAGGTTTTTACACTTTATTTCCTCAATGTTACAAATATCCTGATATCATCTTTAGGGTTACCTAAAAGTTTCTATTTATATAGATACTAGTGACCCGGTGCACAGATTCATGTACATTGAAAGGAAATTAATTAGAAGGTGGCCGGTGGGGCGGGACTGGGCAAGAAGGGCCGGACACGCCCTGGAGCCAACCTCCTGCAGTCCCTCCCCGATGTTTGCGGAATGAGCAGGGTCCCTTCAGCAGGTGGGGTCCCTTGGCTTGGCCTGCGGGGATCAGGCCAAAACAGGCTCTCCAACATCCCCCGAGGGCTCCCAGAGTGTGAGAGGGCACTCTGCAAAGTTGCTGTCGTACATATAGGGTATGGAACACAAAATGCAAGTGTGCAGTAAGCCAGATTTGGGGCCGACAATGCCCCAGCAACAACCATGGCTGAAAGTGGAATCGCATGGCCCTGCAAGGAACCCTCCTCTCTGGTTTTGGGGTGTATCACCCAAGAACCTCCGCTGCCAAGTCACTACAGCTCGGCAGCTCCTGCATTGAGCATCTGCCCGCTGGTGGTCAGTGCACATCATAGCGACTGGTCAGATGAAGGGAGGGACACTTAGCATATTAGCCTTTTATATATATAGACTACATGCCCGGTGCACAAAATACATGCACTCGGGGGCGGGAGAGGGGGGGTCCCTCAGCCTGGATTGCAAGAGGGTGCAGGCCAGACCGAGGGGCCCCACCAGTGCACAATCGGGGCCGGGGAGGGATGCGGGAGGTTGGTCAGCTGGGGAGGGACCACAGGAGGGCTCCAGGGCATGTCCAGCCCATCTCACTCAGTCCCGATCAGCCAGATCCCAGCAGCAAGCTAACCTACCGGTTGGAGCGTCTGCTCGATGGTGGTCAGTGCACATCATAGCGAATGGTCAACAGGTCAACTGCCTTCCCCCTGGTGGTCAGTGCAAATCATAGTGACTGGCCAACTGGTTGACTGTCTGCCCCCTGGTGGCCAGTGCATGTCATAATGAGCAGTTGAGTTGCCTTAGCATATCATTAGCATATTATGCTTTGATTGGTTGAATGGCCGACCGGACAATTAGCATATTAGGCTTTTATTATATAGGATATTTTCTAGGACTTCGCTATAGAAACTAAGGATAGAATAAAGAACCTAACAGCCTATTATCCTTATAATTCATATTATTACTTATAAAATATTTCTAGAAATAACTGCAAGAACAGTTATTTTAATCTGTTAAGGTAGCCTGGAAAACAAACCAAAAAATTGTATGGGCGACCTGAATAGAGAGCTGCATTACCTCATGAGAAAGGAAGATAGGTCAGAAGAGGGTGATTACTTGCAGTATGTGCTATTTACCAATGTTTAAGAAATAAGTTGTGAAAACTTGCTTACTAAAGAGTAGGCATCAAGTTAGATAACTGTCATCTATTTTATTTCTGTCCAATATTTCCCATTGATCAAAGCCCTATTAAAAATAAAACAGCTAGGTTATATTTTCAGAAATCACAAAAGTTGCATTGTTAATATAGATATCACCAATACCTTATATATAAATTAAAGTCCAGAAAGTTCAGAATTTATCCAAATTATATAAATGTTTCTTGTGCTTAAAAAAAAAAAAATCAAACTTGAAGGAGTTGTATCCCAACTTGTAGATTCAGAATATAATTCCAATGTAAAGGGTGTTCCAAAATTCATGCAAGAAGTAATTTTGATAGAAAACACAGGTTTATAATTGAAAATTGTAAATTTTTTGATTCATATAGTATACAGTATAGGGTTATGTATGGAATAGCATATCGGGTAAATGGCCTCCACAGCTTTGCTGGCACATACGCACTCTTTTGTTGAAATTTTCCATGACCGTTTTTGCATAAATGTGTCTGAATTTCGATGAGGCTCATGTTCATCTTGATGGCTTGGTTAATCGACAAAATTGTCGCATTTGGGGTTCAGAAAATCCACGAGTGATTGTTGAAAAACAAATGCATCCACAACATGTCACTGTTTGGTGTGGATTTTGGGCTGGAGGCATCATCGGACCATTCTTCTTCAAAAATGCGGCTGCTCAGGCAATAACCAAAGAGTGTGTATGTGCCATCAAAGCCGTGGAGGCCATTTACCCGATATGCTATTCCATACATAACCCTTTACCAGCCGTGGGCAAACTACGGCCCGTTTGAAATGAATAGAACTAAAAAAAAAAAAGACCGTACCCTTTTATGTAATGATGTTTACTTTGAATTTATATTAGTTCACACAAACACTCCATCCATGCTTTTGTTCTGGCCCTCCGGTCCAGCTTAAGAACCCATTGTGGCCCTCGAGTCAAAAAGTTTGCCCACCCCTGCCCTATACTGTATACTTTATGAATCAATAAAAAATTTACAATTTTTAATTATAAACCTGTGTTTTCTATCAAAATTACTTCTTGCGTGAATTTTGGGACACCCTTTACCATGCTCATGCAGCCTGACATCAAATTAGTGTGACCGACCTGAATTCACCTTGGCCAACCTCTACACATAGGTGCTATAAATTGGAAAAGTGATACATGATGACAGGAGAGAAATAAGAGCACTGTTTCTACCATATTGATAGCTCACTCCTATAAGCACTTGCAGGGCAAAAGGCATTATCAGAGTCCTCTTGTTTTCCCAAATAAGCATGAGCTTAAGAGAAAACATTTGACCTTCACATTCTTATCAGTTAAGAACATATTTCAGTATGTATGAGATTGTAACCTGCAGCTTTGTAAATGTGTCTTCTGAGCTTATTCATTTACTATTCAACCACCCCAGGTGCAAATGACATTTATGAGTGCTAATGACACTTTATTGAGCCAGGAGCATGAAATCTGTAATGTTTATCAACTTAGGTCTGTATCAAAAGGTATTTGCAACAGTATATATAGTAACTCCTATTTGTGTAAAATAAGGGAGGCTATATTCATTTCAATATGCACATAAAGTTACAAGGACACACCGACATTTCTAACAATGTAATGAGGAGAAAATGAGACAGAACAGTTTGGTGAAGGCCAAGGGATGGGGACGTGGAGGTGGATGGAGATAGGCAAAGGGGGGAGGGAGAGGTAAAGGGGAGGACACCTGCAATAATGTCAACATTAACTATTTTTTAATAAATAAAAATAAATGACACAGACTAGGATGGGAAAGAAACCTACTTTCACTAGTTTTTTTAATAATGTTTATGAAATATTTTTCAAGTAAAAAAAGATATTTGATACTGACACTACTACTACTATAGGACATATAGTTTGTTCTTTATTCCATACTCAAAGAATTAAGATTCATATAAATTAATAATATAATTTTAAATATCCAGATTCATTCTAAATAAAAAATAAAGTTTACTCCCCGATTCTATCTTTATATTAAAAATAAACAACAAAAACACTTTGTTCTTTTGGGCAGAGATATACTAATCATATGTGTTATTTTCATGGGTAATGAACTTCAAGTGTTCACTGGTATTACTGCTTAAGTTCTTAAAAGCTTGTAAAATCTCCCATCTTTGTCTCCTATAAATAACCAGATAAAATTTGAAGCTCACAAGAAATTTTCTATCATATACATTATAGAGATTTCAATGAATCCCACTATTCTAACAAACAGATATAACATAAAATACATAAGCACAAAGTAGAATGACAATGCTTCTAAAAAAAAAAACATTAGAAAAGGTAATTCAGTTTAATTTATTTTCATCACGTTTTCTTCATGATCCAGAGATTTTTAAATGCAAAGAAAATTAACTTTTCATGATATGTCAGGGACTGGCACTAAAAAAATTTTCAGACTGCAAATGAGTTATACAAATGAAATATCAAATGGAGATCCAGTTATCAAAATGAAAGCACTCAACATATTAAAAGTTCACAATTATTTGTTTAGAGCACATAAAAAAGTCAGCTTGCTAACCAACTGTTTGATTTTAAAGAACTACTGCAGAGATTTGAAGAAAATAGATTAGTTAACATAAAGATTAAAGAGCTTGAAACAAGTATTAAAAAGAAATCTGTGCCTTTATTAGAATGGTGTTAGGCTTTAAATATATGAATTTTGGTAATTCATTTTTTATAAGAAATGACACTACAGAACTGCAATACTGGTCCAACAGTCTTGTCTTTACTTTTCCTTTGAAGCGACAAACAGAATGCGAATAATCAGAAAGCACTAGCAGGCATCAGTTAATCCAAGATACTAGCTTCTTAGTTCCAAAAGCACTTGCAAAGAAAACCATTGGGGCAGCACAGGGGGATGGCAGCAATTCATAACTGGAATCCCACGAGCATGTGTGTACATCAAGTCTCATGAGGCTATTTTTTGAATTTATCCTTTACTTGGTCACTTTTTTGTACTCAAATACTAGTTTTTCTTTGACTTTTTCCTCAAAGTATAAAAAGTATGAAATATAAACAAGCTCTTGCATTGCACACTTAGAAGTGCACAATTCAAGCATTATAGAGCTATCTACATACTGATAAATCCCATCAAATCTTGGATAATTCAATAATATACAAAATATCAGGACACAGAAAGAACTAAAACCCACTTCTTTTTGTTACACATAAGATTCAAATATTCAACCTAAAGAAAAACACTTAATCATTTTGGCGCTCCTCTATATTCGCATGTTGATATATTTATTAAAATATTCCTGTATAATTATGTTTGGTCTTATTATTTCAAGTCAGGTTTAAAACTTCAAAACCAGCCATCCAGACAAAACAAGTAATCAGAAAGATTCTTTCCCACCTCCCTAACCCCAATAACTATGAAGCCAATTTTACGACATGACTCCAAACACTGGATTGTGGCGACAAATGCTAGGTCCAATTTCTTCATAATCCTTTTTGGTGTGGCATACTTGGTAGAACTCAGGCTGAAAATAAAAACAAGTATTTTCATAAAGATCAAAATTCTATCCACTTTTCAATATGCTTTAAAATAGATTTGTTAAGTCTAAAATGTTTATTAGTAGTCCATCCACAGTACTTGAACAAAGCTTAGAAATTCCAGCTATACGTCTAACTCAGAATTAAAAAGGAGCATTTAACTTATGTCCATCAAACTCCTCCTCAACACCTATTTGTCTTAGATTTTGAAATTTTGAGGAATGGAAAATTGATTCTCAAATGCCAAGACTATTCTACTGAGACTTTCCCAAACTATATATTGAATCAATAATCTACAGAAGCAGCATTAATCTGAAGTACCGACAAATCACTCTTAGTGATACTACAAAACTTGTCCTCAATCTGCTTTCCTCACTCAAGGTCTGGTATAGACAGACTATTCAATACTCTCAGTTATCTAGTTTCTCAAAGGGCAAAGCTACAAACTCAACTAGCTATATGGCACAAGTGAAGACAACTAAAATTAAGAAGGAAAATACTTTTATCTCTTATTTTTAAACGGTTTTAAATTCAAGGTTGTATAGTTTTCAATAATTCAGATAAAAGCACCTTAATTTTATTTAATACTCTGTGCACTATGAGATAAAATACCAATATTTAATAGGCTAATGATGTTAAAATACCTTTTTAAGAGGCTTTAAGATGTTTTGGTTTGGGAAGAGGACTCTCAGAATTCCCTTTACTTAATTTAGACCAGGGTACATCCTATCCAGTAAGACATTACTCTTAACTCAATGTTTTTAAATATTTGCACAGAAAAAACAATGACCTTCTCATATCTGCATTACCACAGGGTTCAAATAATTTTCCCTACAGATACATTTAAAAATTCTAAAGGCTCGCTCTAAAAAAATGTCCAGCAAGCAAAGAAAAATATGGACATTAAATCCAAATAACTTGCACTTTTTAAAAATACTATGTGCATACATATCCAATTTTAAAACTTTAAAACATTTTTTAATTTCTCATTTTTCTAAAATTTTTAGGTATTCAAGGATTCTTCTATCTAAAAAATAAAATAAAATAAAATTATAAAAGTAAGCTTCTTCTCATTTACCGTGGAAGCCAGCATCGATCCTCCAAACCAAACGGCATATCGCTGCATGTGGTGTGTAATGACTTGCACATCAATTGGTTTTGGCTAAAAAAAAAAAAAATATTCAATAGTATATTAAAATAGTTTCTTTGGATCATTTGCCTTAAATTTAAATGTACATAATCAACTGTAATGTTTCACATACTTGAAAATAAATAAAACTTTAACAGATGTGAGAGGCACACTGGGCAGAACAACAGCGTAGAAAAATATTAAGCTCATTTTTTTAAAAGCATAACCACACTGAAGTTGGGGTCAGAACTACTCCAAGTACCCTGTGAACAGGATTATGACTATGCCCTCAGGTTGAAGATAAAACTACACAAACACTGAACTCTAGTTAGTAGGCTTACTTCTCACAGTGATATGAACCAACAATTCTGAAGCTACTATAAAACATAGCCCGGATAGAGCAAAAACATAAATATATTATAGATAACAGAAGCCAGTTTTCTCTCTGTCCAAGAGGGCATTACAAATATGGAAAGGCAAAAGGCTAGAGCGAACCTCTGGTATTCTGGAACTGGCAGTATCAGCATGAATTCAGTTTTTAATTTACATAGAGAACTAGATATAGATGTTCACACACACACACACACACACACACACACACACACACACACACTAGCTCCAACCGCCAAGAAGGCTTAGAAACAGTGACACCCAGTAGCAATGAATATACTTAATGTCCAAAACTTGATTTCCTAATAGCATTTTCCACTAAAATGAACAAGGGTGACTTGGGGAGAAAAGGGCTGATTCCTGGATTGGAGAAGAAAATATAAAGGATGAGCCTGGAATATCTTGCTGTGCCAGAAAAGTAAGAAAGTGCTTGAAAAATACTGGGACCATATCAGAAAAGCTACTTCGAATGGCTCCCATTGGCCAAATCTGAGAAAATCTGAACATCAAAAGTAATGACATTAATAATATTAATGTCGATATTAAATCACAATTATATTAACGATATAGCTATGGAATAACATGAGAAATCAGTTTCTACAGATATGAATGAATGAATGAATGAATGAATGAAAGAAAAACTCTTCCATAAGTAAAATGAGACTAAAAAACATAAAAGGAATGATGGAATTTGCAAAATACCACTTGGCAATTACCACAGTAATAACTATCTTAGGAAAGAAATATGGGTGTTAATATTAGTGGTTAAAAGTTTGATGAGTATCAGGATAGTTACAGAGTCTGAAAGTATCTTCCCATAAGATTCTCATTACATGTAAAAAATAATAATAATTAATCACCTTATAGTAGAAAAACCTGAAAGATATACCTTTAACCAAATGATCTAAATTAACATACGGGACAAATCTTATCATCTGTCCAGAGATAAATGCACTGAAAGGACACAACATCACTTCTGTGGTATTACTACCAAAAGTGCATAATCTGAACCTAATCACGAAGAAACATCTGACAACCCCAAAATGAGAACCACTGCAAAACAAATGACCTCTACTCTTTAAAAACATTATTGGTTAAAAAAGACTAAGTAATTATTCCAGACTGAAGCAACATGGTAACTAATTCAAACATGTAATCCTGGACTGTATCCTAGACCAGAAAAAATATGCATTTTTTTCCTTTTGCTATAAAAAGAACAATAATAATAGAACTGATGAAATTTGAATCAGATAACTAGATAACATATTGTATTCAAGATGAATTTCCTGATTTTAAAATTGTGATACCCTGTTTTTGGGAAAGACACTTTAAACTATTAGAATAGGCCACCATAATATGCAACTCATTCCAAAACAATTCAGAAAAAAATAATTTTTGTATGTATAGGTATATGTATATATTTGTGTGTGTGTGTATATATGTGTGTATATATGTATACATATATGTATACATAAAGAAAATGTAAAATACTAATATTTGGTATCTAGGTGAACAATATATAGGAATTCCTACTAGGTTTTGCAACGTTTCTGGTAAATATGAAATATGAAATTATTTCAAAAAAAAGTTTTCAAACTTACAAGTCATAAAAAGATGCGGCTTATTATTATTTTTCTTTTTTTGGTCAAAAAAAGCTATTTGATTGCCATTAAAAATTACAGATTAAAAAGAAATAATGCCAGGTTTAGATACAGATATATAAAGATTTATGAAGACCTATAAAATGACTATTGACAAAATAAAGGGGAAAGAGGGAGAATCCTCTATCAAGTTTTCCTAGTATCACTAGATGTCAGTACAGCACTGATCAGCAAAACCCGGAGGGGTTTGGGGGCATGGGGAAGATCCCCCTTTCTTAATTAGAAATGTACCAGAAACTTAGAAATATGTTAAACAATTTTGCTTTATTGAAATACTGAAAAACAGCATTTATTTTCTCACTTCAGGTAGCTATAATGAATCCTAAAAATTGAACCACTGATTTTCAACTGGTGAGCCACAAGAATTTTTAAAGCATGCAATACCAGACTATTTAGTCAGAGACACTGACCTCTTTTCCCTTAGATTGTCAAATAAAAAAAATGACAACAATCAACACAACAGCCATCAGGTATGAATGAATCAAAATTATATCAATTTTTTGGTCAGATCAGCAAAAAATATTTTTTTGGGGGGGCCGCAGAATTATAGTAATTAGTTTTATGTGAAAATCATTGAACTCTTAAACATACATTTTAACGGAACTTCAAGGGGTAGGTTTAAAATAATCAAACTTTAGGGGCTGAAAACAGTCAGCTGTCATGTAATTTCTCAAAAGGCAGCAAACTCTACAGTGTTGTATTTTACTGTAAGTAATTTTGACTGATTGTAGTATCCCTCACTCTTGGTAATTTTCCAGTTGAATAACATGTGTTTTATTTAGCAACATATCCTCTCAATTATGTTTTGTGTCAATGTTCTACATTTATCAAGGATGAAACATAAATCTCTTTACAGCTACAAGAATATTTTCCAGAAACGTAGACAATATCCTAGAGGAATCAAATGATCAAGAATATAGATATGAATGTTTAATATTAACCATTCTCCATTAGAATATCCGACAGTTCCTCTTATTTTCCTAAATAAAAGCAAAAGTTGGCAGACATTTCCCATCCTCATTATAATAATCAAGGCACCCTCAACCTCCCCACCAATTATAGAAAAAAACCAACCTTCAATCTACCGCCACTCAATTCCTCACTTAATTTCAGCCTGGCATCCACAGTTCTTTTCAAATCTCTTTGCAAGCGACGTCCGAAGTCCCTGAACATGGTTGACCCTCCAGAGAGGACAATATTCTATATTAGTGGAGAAAAATAAGTAAGTAAGCAAGCATGACCTTTATTTTAAAAGAATAAAAAAAACTAAAGATATAAAAAATGGTAATAAAATCCAATTATATCCTTTGAAGAGAGGTGTTTTAAATGTAATATTCAACAATGGACAGAAAATAAAGAAGCTTTTAAAAGTATGACCTTGAATAACAATTTAGCTGTAAATACTGACCTTGTAGAGAGGACGTCTAACATCAATAGGACAATTCTGAATTACTTCATCTACAACTTCTGAGATAGGTTGAGTAAAGTCTGGATTAGCAAACTGAAAAGTAAGTAAAGTTGGATATATAATAGAGATTAAATCACTACTGACTTAAATGTCACAATTAAAAATGAAGTTTTAAAAACGTTATTATTTTTAACCACAATGATTTAAACTATCAAATGACTTTCCATCTCAACTCTACCTTCCTAACCAGTCTGTTTAAAAAAAAGAATCTGAAAAGTTATAACACAAATGTACCTACTACCCCAAATAACCTCTACAACCTGAGAACCTGTCAACAGCTTAAGATATTTAATTCTCAAAACCCGGACAGAAAATATTAACAATATGACAGAAAATATGTGCTATTATATTCATTTTAAAAAATGTTATCAATTTGTTAATACAGAACTTGCAAATTCTCTATACTGATCTTTGTTAACCATACTCTTCAGAATTTAACTAAAACAATAATACACACACATGAGATATAATACTTTCCCTACCTTTAAGATAGTTCATCTGCTATACCATGAGCAAGTAAAATGCAGGAATAGGGTCTTTCATTCCTGTGCTATTATTAGGCCAGAGGGAGACCAGGATCAGATGCATGCAGATGTGTGATGAGATAATGGACCCTCCCTGGAATTCCTAACAGGTCAGCATGCCAAAACAGATGGCCACACAGATACCGGCTCCTCCCTGGAATCCACAACGACCCCCACACAGATACTGACTCTTTCCTGAATATCGTGCCGACCCCCGCGGCGGGAACTTCCTCAGCTCATGCCCCCGCCCCTCATTAAACACCTGTATAAAAAGAAACCCCCCCTTTCCCTGTTGGCACAAATCCACTGGCCCTGCCTTTGGGGTTCGTGGGTCACCCGGGGACGCAGATTAAACCCTTTTCCTCCTTACTGACTCCACTCTTTGTTTCCTACGCTGCCTCCTGAGCCACCTTACAGCTATATCTCTGTGCCCTTCTCACAGTTTTTAATCAAGAATATACAGAAATGAAAAATTTACAGAACATTTAAATCTTCCCATAATCTGGATCCACACACAAAAAATCTGATTTAGAAAGAAATTAAGTCTGATCTGAATATATCTTTTGAAAAAGCTCAGGGACTATAGTGCTGTAGAATCCCAGGTGACAAGTAGAATATGAAGTAAAGCAGCAAGCAATGAATACTTAGTAAATAAATGAAGGAAAAAATAATTCACAGTAAACAAATTAACGAATTGTTGAAGGTTATTCAATACTTTAATACTAGAAGGCTCAACCTAGGGTCCCTATTAAGAATATTTTTAGGCCTTTTCTTTTGCTTTCAGCAAAAGGATACCTTGCTTCCAAATGCTCCCTGATCAGGTCTTCATATTACCTCAAGTGACTATTAGAGGAGGAATATTTTCCCTCTCCTCTGAAAAATTTATAGAGAATACACCCAATGGAACACAACAATCCAAATAGTTTTGTCAAAAATTTATAATTTCCTTAAAAAGAAAAAAAGCAAAGCACTAAACCCATTCCTCCTAAAAATAGTTCTTGTATTTGTGATGAATTTAACAGTTCAAAAATAAATATCCTTACTCTTTCGGACATTTTATCTTCAATTGTTCAAGTTCAGATGCCCATCCCTTCATCTAATCAAAACAAAAAAACAGAGCGAATCCTACAAATGACAGAGGAACTATGACAGAAATATCTAAAACTACAGAAGAATCTTAAAATTCACTTGGGAAGTGACCCAGTTAATATACATAAAACAGGTCTAGTCTCAAAAAACACAGGGAACACACATCCTATACTATATAATAAAAGCCTAATATGCTAAGTGTCCAGTTGTCCATTCAACCAATCAAAGCATAATCTATAATAATAAAAGGGTAATATGCCAATTAGACTGGACGTCTTCTGGACATCCTTCCTGACAAAGCCCAGGCCGGAGGGAAGCCAGCCTGGGTCCCGGGTGCCTGCGGGCGGCCCAAGAGAAACAGACTGGGTCCCCGGTCCCTGCGGGGAACTGGAGGAGGGAAGCAGCCCGGGTCCTGGGTGCCTGCCAGCAGCTAGAGGAGGGAAGCCTGGGTCCCGGGTGCTGGAGGGAAGCCGGTGCCGGCAGCCGGGGGAAGGAAGGCCTACTCTTGCACAAATTTTCGTGCATCGGGCCTCTAGTATGCTAATGATATGCTAAGGCTGCTCAACTGCTTGCTATGATGTGCAGTGACCACCAGGGGGAAGACAGTCAACTGGTCGATCAGTCCTTGTGACATGCACTAACCACCAGGGGGCAGATGCTCCAACTGGTAGATTAGCATGCCCTGGAGCCCTCCTGCAGCCCCTCCCTGGCTGACCAACTTTCCATGTCCCTCCCCAGCCCCTGATCGTGCACCGGTGGGGTCCCTCAGCCTGGCCTGTGCCTTCTCACAATCTGGGACCCCCTCGGGGGATGTCAGAGAGCCGGTTTCAGCCCGATCCCACAGGCCGAGGGACCCCACTGGTGCACAACTTTGTGCACTGGGCCTCTAGTATCTAATATTGTTCTCTCTATTAAAAGCACCACTAAAGATAACTTTTTAAAAGGCATAATCCCAGGAGGTCCACACTATGAATTCCCAACTTTCACCTGTCACCAAGGCAACAAGCTACCTCTATCACACCATTCCCCTAAAACTGTTCCCCAGAACACCAATAATCTGGATGCAAAAATCCATGAGTGCTTCTCAAGTTTCCTCTATTACTATACTGTATCAATGGGCACTACTATTTAACCTCACTTCTTCAAATTCTCACTTCTTTTAATGTTAACACCACAATCCTTTGGCTCAGCTGCTCCATTTCAGCATTCTTCAGTGTTCTTTGCAGGCTCCTTACTCTGCCTGTCCATAAAGTGCTGGTGTTGACTAGGGGCCCACTCTTCCCCTTATTCCCACTCCACATCCTCTCCCTGACCATTCTCTTCCTTTGTTCCATGTGTGTTGATAACTTCACATTTATCCTCACTTGAAAACACACTACAGTTCAAAATCCTTAGAACCCAAGTGTTCATTTTGGAATCCTTTAAAGATGCATAATAAAGTCATGTCATGTTTCCACCTCACCTATTCTTCCCCTTCACTGTTCCTAATTTGAGTGGATGGCACAATATCTAATTACGATACAAACCTGGGAATCATCACAGATTCTTCATATTCTTAGTCCTCTCACATCTAAGCATCAGTTGTCACGTTGCTTACTCACCTTCTATTCGTTCTCTCTCACCTTCTTTCTCTTTCTCATTGACCTACAGACATTTAACTTTCATCTGAAAAACGGCAATAAACTCACCTGCTTCCAACACAATTCACACCTCTATTCCAATCTATCCAACCCAGTACAACCAGAGTGACTTTTTTAATACTACACATAAATCTGTGTCATTTCCATGCTGAAGTTTTCTGCACGACTACAGAATCCAGTAACTCCTTTACATAGCATATTAGTCCCTCATGAACACCAATCTGGATCTATCTCCTACTACTCCCTTCCTTTATACTTTTGTTATCTAGCTCTCTTATATCTCAGGACCTCTACCCAGCTTATTTCCTCTGCCAGAAATATATTCCCCTAGCATACCTGCCTATCAAACATCCACTCATCCTTTAAGTCTCAGTTCAACTGTTATCTCCTCTAAAAAGTTTCTCTGGTTCTCCCAAGCAAACTTAGATGCTTTTTGCTTCTATTTCCTCACCTGATGCATGCATCCATTAAAGCAACTATACCTATTTAGGTATTCATCTCTCTTATTCTTTAAGCTCAGTAAGAGCAAGACAAATTAATTTTTGAATATTTAATGCTTAAACTGAGAGCATGACAATTATATCCACTTATTATTTGCTAGAATAAGCAAAAGTAGGCATTTAACTTTAGTAATTCTATTAATAAAGTTGTTTCTTATAAGTTTTAAGAACCTTTCATTATTAAAAGCATGTATTTTTCATTAATTTAATATAGCCTGTGTGTCACTAACATTTCATAGAAACAGAGACTATTTTTCTAATAATTAAATATTTTGTGATAGTTACTTGGTTTCTTTATAATGGTCATTTTACATATTTAAATGATCAAAAAGTTTAAGGACTCCCCTCTTTCTATGACCCCATATAAGCCACACATATTAAAGATTTCATTCTTCTAAATACATGAAAATAGTAATTATTTAGCCTGTTTTGACAAAGGCCTTTTAAAAATATATATATATATGTAACTAACTATAGCATTTTAGTATACAAAAAAAGTTCTTGAGATTAACTCTCTTAAGTAATCTTATAGTTCATTGATATTTTTTGCTGAGTATTATAAAAAAATTCCATCTAAAAAAATTACCTCTGGATGAAAGAAGATTTCAGGTCCCAAGAATCTCTCATAACCAACATCAATGGAAAATTCTTTCTTTGAGATAGCATTGATTCCAGTATACTGTTTAATCCACTTCGATCCATCTGTGTCATACTTGTTAAATTCTTTTACTAAATCTGGGCAGACATAACTATAGCGCTCCTAGAAAAACAAAGAAACAAGCAATTTATTCCTCTTGTTTTAGGAAAAGTACAAAAAGGGGGGAGGGGTATATTTTCAATAAACCAGAAACAAAAAAATCTTTAGAAAATAAAATTAGGAAATTAAGCTGAAGAAAATTTTATGTAGTAGAAATAAACAGTTCACCTCCTGGCTTCATATATGAATAGACTGATTTATAAATGAAAGAATCAAGTTCTACTATTTCAATGTTATTTCATGAAAATATTCAAAAGTGTCTTCCAATATTTTATACTGTTTTAGTAATTAATGGACTCTATATTCTAGAGAAGAGAAAGCATAAAATATACAGAACTAAAGAATTATTAATAATTGATAAATCCACACAAATTAATGTAGATCCTTAGCAGGAACAAAAGTGATTATAGTCTAAGTAAATAAGCAGGAGAAAAAAGGCTGAAAATATAAACTATTCTTTTTCACTATATCACCTGCACAACTGAATTGTTGCATATTTGGTTATATGTCCCAGGAAAAAGCTATTATCTAAAATGCAATTCAAAATGTTATGGGTTATAATATTCTATTTGTAATTTATGGACTTCTGACTTACAACCTCATTATTTCTTTTTAAAGAAAAATACATATTTCATATATTTTTACATATCAATTATTCTACCCAAGAGATACAAACATTATTATTGATAATCAAAGGACATAAAGGGAAAGAATATTAGAAAACAAAAGGCAATTTGGTTGTTATATTAGGTCTTCTTTCTCCAAACCTTGAAAATAGTAATTACATAGTAATGATCTTTCCCCGGCCAGGGTGGCTCAATGGTTGAGCATTGATTTATGAATCAGGAGGTCACAGTTTATTTAATTCCTGGTCAGGGCACATGCCTGGGTTGTGGGCTCGATCTCCAGTAGGGGGTATGCAGCAATCAATGATTCTCTCTCATCATGATGTTTCTCTCTCTCTCTCCCCCTCTTCCCTTCCTCTCTGAAATCAATAAAAATGTATTTTAAAAAAAGAAATGATCCTTAAAAAAAAAAAAAAAACCTTCAGAATGAGCATCAGTAGTCTCTAGAATAGATTTAATTCAAACTCCAGATTTCCCAAAACTGCTAAAACAGTAGTGTTCATATTGTTTACATATTTAAGAATAATGTCACCAACTGTAGAGTGTGACGTTTGTCAGACATTTAGTAATTCCTTTACTATCTATAAAGTAGTAAATTTATTTTTATTCCTAACCTTTAAAGAGAATCATATAAAGATAGGCAAATTAATGAAGTTATTTTTGCCAGGTTAGATTTCCTTTTACATATTCAAAACATATGTGATAGGACCACTGAAAATTTGTAGGTATGTTGACAAATGATAAATGTAAAAAATGATGCTCAGTATTTTGATAATTTGTATGAAACACCGAAATAATGAAGACGTATGTAGCATACAATAGAATACTTACACAGCCTTCACATTTTTCTATTTGCCATAAACACTTGAGCTAACTATGCCAAAATCAATCAATTAAATCAAAATAATTTTGCAACAGAAAACTTTCCGAATAAGGAATTCAGATTTGAGGACTATGAAGTGAACGAATTTATTTTACAAAAGGAAATAATCATGAAAATGTATGTTAGTCCTCTCAAATGTTAAGATGAACACGTAATTAATAATTTTTAACTGGCTAACACGTGTTTTTTTTAAGTACCATTCTTAAGAATTTTTCATGTTAGTATTTTAAATTTGATTTTTAATTTCTAACTGAATTACACCTCATCACTCTTTACCTTTACTGCCTTAGCAGTTTCCAAGGATTGCTCTGGAGGGATTCCTACTTCTCGGTCTCTCAGCAATTGCTGAATAAAATACGTTATATCTCGTCCTGCAATGGGAATGTGCTTAATACAGCTGCCAATCACATAACCTTCAGCCTAGAGGGGGGAAAAGAGAGTATCAAATTTACTGTCAATGTTTTCAAAATTCATATAATCTAAATAATTAGCTATTAAAGACCCATACATCAGGTTAGTGTAGTCATATCTAAAGTATTGCTTTATCCCAGGATAATTCTTCTAGTCTTTATTTCTCAATTGTATTCCTCATAGTTACTTATCGTAGAATTTATAATACTGTACAGTAACAAGAATGAATGGCCAGCAACTTAAAATTCTCTCATTGATAAGAGTTTATAACCAAGACTGAAATAACTCAATAACTTAGAAATAATGATTTTCAGAAGTAGTAATGTTGTAGATAATAGACTTCAGATGAGATGATTTTTAAATCTTCTAAAACTTCAATAAAAAATTTAGATTTCATTGTAGGAAATTTGATCATTAACTCAAAAGCTGACTATCATTTTTTCCCAATGAATTAGGTACCAATTTCACAAGCTTCAAACATACCATGTACCATAATAATGCCAAATAATTAAGTTCTGAAGAATTCATAAATTTATTGATCCAAGTCAAAAGAACAAAAAATAATGTAGCAAAATTAAATTTCATTAACAAATGAAATGTCAGAGATGTCCTCATGTGCCCATGACAATAGAATAGGGATTGAATTCATTCTCTCATCTTAAAAATAAAACAGGACAAATTATATGAAGTTGTTTTTCAGATATTAGAGAATAGGCAGAGTAGAGCAGTGACCCTAAGAGAAGGGAAAACAAACAAGGTGAGAAACATTCCATCTTGCTGCCCAGGGAGAGTTCTTAGGCAGCAATAATGGGAAGGAGAACCCAGAGTCTGGTGGTCTCATTAAGCTGAGGATACAGAATCTGCAAGTCAGACTACTACAGTGGGAGAAGCTGCACAGAGAGAGCTCTGGAGATCTGAAGAGAATTATCACCTTAGCTGACTAGTAATCATCATCATGTGCATGTGAGAAAAATCAAGGCCAGAGAAAGAACCTCTGGAAAGGAGCAGGCAGAAAGAACGATCCCCAACTCATACACAGCTGGGAACAGTTTATGTTCCCACTCACCAGAGTTTAAAGACCTCAAACTCAGAGCACCTAGTAGTCTTCAGAAGAATATTGCCCCAACACTGGGGACAGAGTAGGCCTGGACATGCTTAATAATGTTTTAAAGGAGTCTCTTAAAGGATCGAACTGATTCTTAGTCACTTAACTGTGTCCCAAGAAAATATCTTAAAATATTAAGCAAGAAAGGAACCAGGAAAAGACAACCCCTGATCAGGAAGAAAATAAATCAATAGAGAAAGAAGCAGAAATGTCAAAGATATAGAATTAGTAGACAAGGACACTAAAACAGCTAATATACTCCATCTGATCCTGATCAAGAAGATCAATTGAAACATGAGGAACAGAAAAACAGAAGCTATAAAAAGACCCAAACAGAACTTCTAAGAACAAAAATACCTGAACTTAAAAATACAATAAATGTAATTATAGCACATTAGACAATGAATAAAAATCATGATCATGAAGACAGAAATAGAAACTCTCCAAAAGGGTATAGGAAAAAAAAGTTAGAAAAAAAATAGAGTATCAGTTAACTATGAGACAACTTTAAACAGTCTAATATACATGGAGTTTCTAAAGATCAGGAGGAAAAGAAAAGATATGTGAAGAAATAGTGGACAAAAACTTCTCAGATATCATAAAAACTACAAATCCATAGGTCCAAGCAGCTCAATGAGAAGAAATGAAGAAAACCACATTTAGATACATCACAAATAGCTGAAATCTAGTGAACCTAGAATATGTAAAAAGATAACTTGACAGCAGCCAGACAAGAAACGTTACATTCAAAGGAACAAACCTGAAATTATAGCAGATACTTTCAAAAACAAAATAAGTCAGAAAACAGTAGAGCCACATCTTTAAAATACTGAAAGGAAGAAAACTACCAACCTAAAATTCTACACTAAGTAAAACTATCTGCCAAAAATGAAGGCAAAATAAAGACCTTTTAAAGTATGTACATAAGTTGAAATCATTCATAGGCAGAGGATCAGGACCATAAGAATATTAAAAACCAACATTCAGACAGAAAGAAATGATGCTAGATGAAAATCTAGACCTTCACAAAGGAATAAAGAGCACTAAAAATGGTGTGTAGGAAAATATAAAAGAATTGTATGTGTTTTTCAAAATCTCTTTTAAAGATGACTATTTATTATAGGCTGACTTGTGACCTGTCCCTCCCAAAATTCTGTTAACATGCTAATCCCCAATACTGTCAAAATGTTACTGCCTTTGGAGATAGGGTATTTAAAGAGGTAAAATTAAGTTAAAATGAAATGATTAGAGTGGGCCCTGATCTGATATGACTACTGTTCTTAAAAGAGGAGGAGACTGGAACACAGACACAGAGAAGACATATGGTCTACAAGAGAGCCCTCAGAAGTCAACACTGCCTACATCTTGACCTCAAACATTTTAGCCTCCATATCTGTGAAAAAATTAATCCTTTAATTGTTTAAGTCACTCAGTTTGTGGTACTTTGTTATGGCTGCCCTAGCAAAACTAATATACAACTTACAATGAAACAAATTAATAATATACTATTGAATAAATAACATGTAGAAGTAAAATGAATGACGACAATACAGACTAGAAAGGTTATGAAATCTAGAATATTATTTGGAGTTAGATTGTGATAAGTTAAAGTTGCTTACGATAAGCCCTGGAGCAACCACCACCAAGAAACAAGCAAATGACAATACCAAAAAAATATAGTAAAGCTAATAGGTCAATAAAGAAGTAAAATAGAATTATAAAAATAACCTACTAACTCAACAGAAAAGAAGAAAATAATGATCAGTATAAATCTGAGCTGTCATTTTGAATCTATGAAGCACAGTAAAAAAGCTAATTTGTCATTAAGATTAGAAGCACAAAGGCCTTGGCAAAAAAATGCTATCTCAGACAATAATCCAATCTGATGCATTTTTCTTAATATACTTTACTAAATTTAAACCATAAAGCCCAATCATATCTTGAGCTTTTTATTAAAAAAAAAAAAAAAGTTCCCTAAAAGTCATTAATGGTCATTGCTCACAACTAACTGCCATTTTGTTAATGTACTCACCAGTCTGAAATGTGTTAATTAAGGATGAGAGAGACTATCAACTGGCTAATATACACAAAGACACATCAAACTGGAGAAAAGAATTCCAAGTTTAAGAAAAGAAAGATATATTTTTTCATTCCATATACTCCAATTCATCATTTCCCAATTATAAATTAGAAACTATTGCTAATAAATTTTTAATTATTTCCTAATAGTAGTACAAACCTATAGCAAAAGAAACATTTTAGAATTTGTTTATAAAATTTTAACAATAATTTGAGCAAAATACAACTATAGTTGAACAAATGGCCAAATCACAGCTAATTTTTTAAGTATAATATTTAAAAGTTTTAAAAAGTGGTATTAATTCATATAATTTAACTTGCCAGATGTGTAATTTGATGTCCTATTCAGTAATTTTAAAATATTCTTACCACAGGAATGACATGCGTGACACCATCTCCACTGTCTATTACCGTACCAGTCAATGTCCGTTCCCCTACTTGTCTTGAGGTCCAGGATGCAGCTAAGGCAAGAACGGCCTTGAATAAAAAGAAATAAGACAGGCAAAAAAGAGACAAAGACAGAGAGTTAAAATTACATATATTTTACTGGAGTATTTTATTCAATTTTAAATGTAGTATGCCTGGAAAGAAAATATACAAAATTAATTTACACTATGCAATCAAATTATTCACATCCTACATTTTATTAAGACAAACTTACAAGTTTATATTTGCTTTCAGGGACATATTTATAAATTTTCCATATTTCAGTGAGAGCCTTTTTTCTCCTAAAGCCAAAAAAAATGTGGAAGACTAACATGAAATTGTATAGTATAAGACTGTCAAGACTTAAACTATGTTTATATGGGATAGCCTGTTACAAACAACAAAGCAAGAGAAGCACACCACCAACCACCCAATCACCAGAATTATTCAATACTAGTATCACTCTTATAAGATTATCTCCAAATTTTCTAAGTGCAATATGCATCTAGGGATATATAACAACTTATCACAGAAAAGCCCTTGCACACTTCCAAATCCTATGATATAATTATAAAACAAAGTTGATGAGGTAACATTTTTCTGTGAAAAATTGTGGCATAGGCAATAAAGTATAATTCTTTAAAAAAGGAGTTTACAAATTAAGAAATTAACACAGCTAGTTCATTTTTAAAAATCTATATTTCATACAATCCAAGCCTCAAATAAGATATATGACTAATATGCTGAAACCGGTTTGGCTCAGTGGATAGAGCGTCAGCCTGCAGACTGAAAGGTCCCAGGTTCAATTCCGGTCAAGGGCATGTACCTGGGTTGCAGGCACATCCCCAGTAGGAGATGTGCAGGAGGCGGCTGATCGATGTTTCTCTCTCATCGATGTTTCTAACTCTATCTCTCTCCCTTCCTCTCTGTAAAAAATCAATAAAATATATTTTTTTTAAAAAGATATATGACTAATAATTAAAAACAGAACAAAACTGGCTTTTTAAAATCTACTTGCAATATAAACAGCTGAAAAATGGACCTAGAAAGATGTCTAAGCTGACCGCCAATTATAACACAGGATCACACTACAAACATTGTGTGCCACCAGAACTATAAAATAGTTTATATACTCATTAAGCATCTGTGATATACCAGGTTATCACATTTACTATAGGGTTAAAAAATAAGAGGTAAGTTCTGATCCTGAGGGTGGGACAGAAGCTGTATCATACAGATATACATACAAATTAAGTACAATAAAGTATTGCAGGAATTTATGATATATAGGATACAGAAAGGCCCAAAGGAGAAGGTGGTCAAATACACCTAGCAATAAATCAGTCAAAACAAACTGTAAAAAGAACACAACGAATGTTCTAAGGATAAATGAATATATATATTAGAGACCCAATGCACGAAAATTCGTGCAAGAGTAGGTCTTCTTTCCCCTGGCTGCTGGCACCCGCTTCCCTCCCACACCTGGGACCGAGCTGCTTCCCTCCGGCCCCGGCTTTGTCAGGAAGGACGTCCGGAATGACGTCTGGAAGACGTCCAGTCTAATTAGCATATTACACTATTATTACAGATATGAAGTTCTTGACATGGCAGAAACACTCAATGAACTTTAGTTCCCTTTTTTCTGTCCTATAAAAGGATTTGAGTTAACCAAAAACAATTAATATACTTTAACACTTCTTTTCTGACTAAAACTCAATTTCCTATAATATGATTTCTAAATTATCAACTCAAGAGAGAAACTATGATATGCTTTGAGGTTATAATACACAGATAGATAGATAGATAGATAGATAGATAGATAGATAGATAATTAAACCAGATTAAAACTTAAGAATCCAGAGTCTCTTAACTTATGAACTTGCTTACCTGCACAGCAATGTACAAGCCTGGAACATTGAAGGACTCAAACATTATTTCAGCAGTATATTCCCTGTTTTCTGGAGTATTCAGAGGAGGTTCAGTCTATTAAATTGAATAACATTTTAAAAAGACAATATCAGATTATTTTGATAACTTAATAGACAATTTTAAATGAGAAATAATTTATTTCAAACACTGTATTTAAAAGTCATTAAAACTTAGAGGTAAAGAGAGACACAGTCAAAGAAAAAATAGAGAATTCAAACAGATCTAAACATATGCAAAAATGTGGTTATTCACATAAAAAAAAAGGAAACTAAATTCCTCTCACACCACTTGTAAGAATTACACATTGAGAAAGGGAAGGAAGGAAGGAGGAAGAAGGAAGGAGACCCAGTCAAATCACCTTGTAAACATCGTAATGAAAAACCTCCAGTGGTATTTGCTAATGGAAGAATCATCTATGCATTATTTATAGCAGAATGTACCTGATCTGGCTACAATTATAGTAAACTAGAGGCCCAGTGCACGAAATTCGTGAAAGGGTAGGGTCCCTAGGCCTGGCTAGCGATCAGGGCCAATCCGCAGGGTGATTGGGCTGCCCCTGCTTGCACCTGCCTTGGCTGGCCTGGAACCACCTGCTCGCCGGCCCCACCTCTCGCTGCCACCATAGGTTGGGGCCTGCGGGCAGCTTCTGCGTTAAGTATCTGCCCCCAGGTGGTCAGTGCGCATCATAGCAACTGGTCGTTCCGCCAGTTGTTCTGCCGTTTGGTGAATTTGCATATTAGGGTTTTATATAGCTAGATAAATCAAGATTCTACAAATTTATGGCACAGCTTCCTGAAAAAAATGTTATGTAAGTTACATAACTGTTAAGCGACTATAAAATGGAGATATTTACATAGTTCTCTTCAGTTTAAGTTATGTGGCTGCATACATCACTTAGAAACTTGTGTCTGGGTTAAGTCTGAGGCAAAAAGGACCTAGGGAACAGCACTGGCAATCCCAGATTTCATTTTTTGCTTATGTCTCATGATCATTTAATTCATTTAAATTATTAAAGTTGAAAACTGGGTAAAACTCATTCTTATGAGTCTGATATGACAATCCAATCCTTTTTGTTATCTCAAATACGTAAAGTTAAAAGGCAAAACTTTTAAACTTAACACAAAAGAATTATCTTTTTTACCTTGAGGAAAGCCATGGATTCCTTACATTTACAGAGCAAAAATTACAAAAAAAAAAAAAAAAAAAGAATGATAAAACTTGAATTCATTACAAATTAAATGTATTTTTTCAATTTTAAAAGGCCTTATAGCCGAAACCGGTTTGGCTCAGTGGATAGAGCATCGGCCTGCGGACTGAAGGGTCCCAGGTTCGATTCCGGTCAAAGGCATGTACCTTGGTTGCGGGCACATCCCCAGTAGGGGGTGTGCAGGAGGCAGCTGATCGATATTTCTCTCTCATTTATGTTTCTAACTCTCTATCCCTCTCCCTTCCTCTCTGTAAAAAATCAATAAAATATATATTTTAAAAAAAAAATAAAAAAAAAATAAAAATAAAAATAAAAGGCCTTATAAATAAAGTTTAAAAAAACTAAGCAGGAATAGAGTTTTTCATATGTAAAACTTTTAATAAGCAAACTGCCTGATGTTAAGAGAGTTTGGAACTAGGTTCAACAATATGAAGATATTTAGCAATACATACAAAATTAAGCAAACTAAAAAACCAAAGCAGTTAACTATAAACTCCAAAACAAACAGAAGTTCTACATAAAATATAATCAGAAACTTCATAAGGAAAACATACAGATAGCTAGTAAGTACATGAAAAAATGCTCAATGTCATTAGTCATCAGGAAAATGCAAATTAAAACCAAAATGAGAAAGCTTACACACCCACTAAAATGGCTAAAACTAAAAAGACTAACACACCAAATATTGGGCAGATTGTAGAGCAACCAACTTACTCACATCTTATATAAAAGTTTCCTAAAAAGCCTATTATGCACCTACCTACAGCAATACTGTACCAAAGTATTTATACAAGAGAAATGAAAACATATGTCCCCAAAAAGACCTGTATAGGAATGTTCTCAGTAGCCAAAATATTGTTAATAGTAAAAAACTGGCAACAGCCCAGGTGATCATCAATAGAAAATACATAGTAAGGCATATTCATCTAATGGAATGCAACCCAGAAAAAGCAACAAGTTATTGGTATCCTCAACAACATGGATGAATTTTTAAATCTTAATCTCTGGGGAATACGAATCAAGGGTTGGGAGACATGAGGAAGAAGAGTGCTGTTTTTTTATTTTCGATCTTATACCATTTAATTTTTTAAAGATAGATATGAACATGCAACTATTTTGGTAAAAAGAAGAAAGTTTAAAAATTAAGTTATATTGTATTTTTGTTGCCAAAAATTACAAATGAAATAATAATCAGACTACAATGAAAAAGGGAAGCGCCATATTTCCAACTTTTTCTGAACCTTACTATTTCTATCAAAAAGATTACATATTAATTATCAAAAGAATTTCCTAAGTGCCTAAACTTTGTTGTTTCAATATATTACTACTCTATTTGAACTCCAGAACAGAATAATCTTAAAGACAAAAGAGCTTTTTAGAGTCTTTTAGACATATGACAATTTAATAAAAAATAAAGCATGCCCTCGTGAATACAGATGTAATGAAAATATTCTCATTGAGTTTCTTCAAAACTTTCCTCAGTGAAATCACAATTTGTACTTACCAAAAGAAAATAATGGTCTTCAGGTTCTGCCCTTAAATATTTAAAGATCACTTGTTCCATAAACTTTTCCATCAAATCCCAATCTTCAACTATACCATGGCGAATTGGCCACTATTAAGACAAAAAAATAAAATACAAGTATTATTAACATCAAAATAAACTACCAAAATTTAAAAACCCAGAGAATACTAGACCATTAGTGAATATTAGAAAAGGACAGCATTTCTTAGGTGTGATAATCTAACTGTAGATAATTCTTTTTTTTTTCTTTTTTTTTTAAATATATTTTATTGAGTCTTTTACAGAGAGGAAGGGAAAGGGATAGAAAGTTAGAAACATCGATGAGAGAGAAACATTGATGTGCCCGCAACCAAGGTACATGCCCTTGACTGGAATCGAACCTGGGACCCTCCAGTCCGCAGGCCGATGCTCTATCCACTGAGCCAAACCGGTTAGGGCTGTAGATCATTCTTTAGAAATTCATACATAACTATTTAGAAATAAGTTAAATTATCTCTACAATATATTTTCTGGTGATTCAATTAAAAACATAATGCAAACATGTTAAAATTATAATGTAAAACATAACGTAAAAATGTTAAAAATTGTAAATCTAGATGGAAGATCATTGTACTAGCCCAGTGATGGCGAACCTATGACATGCGTGTCAGAGGTGACACGCGAACTCATTTTTTTGGTTGATTTTTCTTTGTTAAATGGCATTTAAATATATAAAATAAATAACAAAAATATAAATCTTTGTTTTACTATGGTTGCAAATATCAAAAAATTTCTATATGTGACACGGCACCAGAGTTAAGTTAGGGTTTTTCAAAATGCTGACATGCCGAGCTCAAAAGGTTCGCCATCACTGTACTAGTCTGTCTGGATTTCTGAAAATTTTGTAATAAGCGAAAAATTTAAAATTAAGCCTATGAAAATTATAGTTTACTACAATTTCCTTAACATTTAATTTATTAGCTCTTTCACAAATATTTGCTATGTGCCTAATATATAAAACACAGTTGGTAAGTATATAGCAATAATAAATCAAGCATGTAAAATTAAAAGAAAAACTATATGTATTTGTAAAGAAACATGCTTTCAAAACTGAGCCCCAGGGTACTACAGCAAATTGACAAAGACAACACCAATTACTTTAAATTTTTCAGGAAAATACAGTGACACTCAAAATCAGTCTGACACTGCGTATCTTACTAGCAGAGAAATTCAGTTTCAACATTAGGTAATACTACATATATTATTTTCAATAACATCACTTCTTTGAGAAACTGAGTTGCCAGTAGTTGCTATAATAAAAACTAGTACCTCCCCCAAAAACTAATGTAAAATAAGAAATGCAGGAGGAGATGTGCAATCTGATTCCAGGTGTGAGAAGTTGTGAAATACCTAACAGGCACATGCACTCTTATAAAATTGTAATTATTTAACAATTAAATATTTTCCTTTCAAATAAGTGTCTTATTTTTTCAAAAGGCTATTTAGTTCCTTAGACCTAGATGCTTAATAAGCAAGCTGTTAGATATTTCTTTTGGTCTAGATGTCACTCTAAACAATCTTACTGAGACACTAAAGGCATTGAGAAAATTTGTGAATCTCTGCAATAAAATACAGTTCCACAACACATATAACTAACAAAAGATTAGTATTCCAAATATATAAAGAATTCCTTAAACAAGCAAATTAAAATTTATGCAAAATTTTTTTAAATATATATAACAGAAAAAGAAACAAACAAAATATACAGTTCCATGCACATAGTACTCAATACCTTACAATGAAAGAACAAATAAACCTCCTATAGTCATTTACTCAGTCATTAAACCTATTATCAGTTAATCCCCAATATCCACATCTCACCCTAGACTTCTCCATACTTTTTAAGGCATTATATTATGAATTTCCTTGCTTTAAGTAAGGAAAAACATGTACTACATCATTCATTTTATAACATTACTGAAGTTTACATATTTAAATAGTCTAAGTGTTATTTTATTGTGTAGCAACTGTGAACCATTGGCACAAATGCTAAGGACATGAACCACCTGCCCCCCTCAAGCTAGTGAAAGAGATAGATACAAATCTATTGTAAGTTTTTAAAGAAATAAAGTACCTAGGACTAGATGAGGAGCTAGGCTCCTTAGGAAAAATAGAAATACTCCTATATGACTGATAAGGTCATATCTAAGCTGGGTGTTAAAGGAGCAACCTTGTTGATTTTATTTTCTTGGGAGGAAGAAGAGGGAAGAACATGTAGATATAGAATAGAAAGAAAAAATATGTAAAAAGACAAACACTGCATTTAACAATGAGAAATATGTGTGACAAAAGGATTAGGGGGGAGGGGTGTAGAGAGACAGATCAGTTCTAGATAAAGAGACCAGATTCTCAAAAACTGTATTTTCCTTATATTTAGATTTTATTCTGTAAGAAATAGGGCACTGGCAGAAAATTTTAATCAGGGGAGTGACAAGAACAGCTTTGATTTTTAGGAAGATTATTATAGCAGCACTGAGAAAGCTGAAAAGAATTTTAAGACAACTAAGCAAGGGAAAATAAAAGCCCCAACTGTGGTATCCTATCTAATAAGGAGGGAATATGCTAATTGACCCTCACCCCATCGCAAAGATGGCAGGGCCCACAGCCAATAAGGAGGGAATATTCTTATTGACTGCCCAGTCCTCAAAGATGGCAGCGCCCACAGCCAATAAGGAGGGAATATGCTAATTGACTGCCACGCTCTCAAAGATGATGGCGCCCAGTCCCCTCAGCCCCACTGGGGCGCCTGCCTCCAGAGTCCCCCAGTCCCCTCAGCCACCCAGGGCTGGCCCGAGGTGCAGGCAAGCCTTGGATGGCGGCTGCCCAGCCACCCAGGGCCGCCAGCGGCTCAGGTAACAAGGGCCAGCCGAGGCTTGCGCTGCCAGCAGTGGCAGCAGCAGAGGTGTGATGGGACATTGCCTTCTCCTGATCTCCAGGTCGCCTGCCGCCCCTGAGGGGGCAGGCCGGGCTTAGGGACCCCACCTCCAGTGCATGAATTTTCATGCACCAGGCCTCTAGTCAATGATATTAGGCCAGATTTAAGATTTCTATTATAAGAATGAGAAGAAACACAAAGATATCAATATTTTTAGCTTTGAAGTCGGACTGGAAAGAACCTATTAATCCAGAGACAAAAGTTGTGTTTTATTTTTTCTTGAACTAAGCAAGGGTAGAGTATATATATATTAAGTTTTGTTTTGGTAGATTACATTTGAGAGCCAGGCAGTAGGTAGTTGACAGTAGGTAGTTGGAAATGTGGCCAAGGAATTGGAAGTAGGGATTTTAGGTTGTAGTTGCAGACAGAGGAGTGGATGAGATCACCTACACAAAGTATTTAATAAAGAAATAAAAGAGAATCAGGGACAGTACCTGGGAAATAAAAACATTTGAGTAGTGGGCAACGGAGAAAGAACCAGCAACAATAGCGAAAATAAAACAGTAACAAATAAAGGATAGTCTATGTTAGAAACAGAAAAGACAAATCAAGACTGTTACACACAATCAATTTAATAGTTTATCAAATAAGTAGAGACTAAATAAGAAATCTGGTTTCAAAAGGAAAATAATAGCTAAAAGGCTGAGGAAAGAAGGTACAAATAAAGACTGAGAAAGTTTTTGTTTTTTAGGTTTGCTTGCAGCATTTGGGAGACATGAAAACGTGTTTAAGGGAAAAGAATCTGAGGAACTATGGTCTCTCAGCTCACTGACTTCAACACCTTCAAAGATTTCTTTTCCCCATTTGGCTAGTTTAAATCTTAGTATCCTCAGCATCTCTAAGTACCAGAAATGCAAGAACGCCCCACTCTGATCATAACTGTTCATCCTCCAGCAATTTGCTATACCTCTATCACAATTAGACTAGCAGGCCACTGGCTATTATAATTACTCCCTAGCTATCCTCCTTCCCTCCCCAACCCACAGACATACACAATTAGACTAGCAGGCCACTGGCTATTATAATTATTCCCTAGCTATCACCACGCCAACCTGCCCCAACACACACACTCTTAGATTTTACACCACATCACTTTGACTATTCATATTTCCTTTTGTCATTCCATCTACCAAAGCCCAACTCAGAATGATCCTACCCTAAACTTACCCATACACAGAATGCTGGTTGTATTGAAGAAACATATGTAACTGGGTTGATAAAACTAAGCATTCATAATTGCTATTCTCAAATGGACCTAACTTTGCCAGGCAAGCATTTGTTTCTCTACTCTATTCATCTTTACTCTCCACAAAGATGATTTTAAATGTCCCCATTATTCAGATTTCACCTCCCACTATTTATTTCCTGGAAAGCAGAGCTGATATCACCATGTATTTCACAGAAACAGCAGACACCAACAGTCAGGAATCCCTTCATCAAATCTATAAAACTGACTCCATACATTCTTTTTCTCTTTCACTTTTTAGTAATATAAGAGAATCTTCCACATATAAATTAGATCATCTGTGCTCTGGACCTCATCCTTCTGACTTAATTATGTTATTTTAATCTCTTTTTTCTAATGGCACTTTCACAATAGCATTTAAACATCTCTTCTACCTTAAACTCACATGTCTCTTGATCTCTCTCTCTCCCAATCACAGCCAAACCTGAATGAATATTGACATTTTTTTCTGGCCTACCATTCACAATCCATCCTACTGTAATCCAGCCACTAAAATGGTTTTTATTACTCCTAAAATGGTTTTTATTAAGGTGACAAATGACATCCTTGTAGCTAAAAAACAGTAATTAATATATGGGGCTCCAGGTGACTTGATATCTTAGAAACATTCCATGCTGTCTATCACTTTCCTATTTACCCCGTCCTCTAACCATGCTTTCTCAGTCTCCTTTGCAATGATTTCCTCTCCTATCCAAACCTAAATAGAGCACTAATCAGGCTGTGTCCTAGGCTCTTCCCTGATACACACTCCCCTAGGTAATGTCAGCCCTTCCAAAGGTAACTGATACCTTCCAAATATTTGTCTTTTTTCTGAGTTCCCAAAGCCAAATATTTGTCTAACAATGTATCAGATGTCTCCCAGATACCGAA